GGCAGCGAAGACCCGATAAGGACCGTCACGCCCTCTACAGGAAGCTACGAGGACAGCCACTTCCTTGGGAAGCTGACTCTCAGAGGGACCCTGAAGCAGAGACTTCAGCAGACACCTGGCTGTCCAGAGGGGCACAAGGGGGACCGGCCTTGGCGGGATAGGCGGCCTCGCTGGGCACTGCATATGGTCCACTCAATTCTACTTTGCAGGTTTTTTTTATTTGGGTTGATTTCTTTTTATTTTTGTATGATTTTCTTTTGAAATGGGGTCTCACTATGTCGCCCAGGCTGGGCCCAAAGCCCCTGGGCTCCCACGACTCCTGCTTCAGCCTTCCAAGTGCGAGCCAACAGGTGGGCCACACACCCTGCCTGATCTGTGATGTCATCTCAGTCTTTAAAAGATTATAAAAATAAAACCAATGGGGCTGGAGATACAGCTCAGTTGGTAGAGTTTTTGCCTCGCATGTACAAGGCCCTGGGTTCGATCCCCAGTACCACAAATAAATAAATAAATAAATAAAACACAAACTTTGAGCCTGCAGCTTCATTTTCAAGACTGCCTCCCTTGTGGAGGTCCTGCCTCCACGCTCCTCAGGTGCCCTGTGAGCCTTCCCTGCCCTCCGTCTTGGGACAACCCTGACCCATGCTGAGGAGCGGGAGGCTCCCACGTGGCACCTGGGACACACTTGTGCCTGAGCCTGTCTGCTAGAGGCACACTTACTGGCTGGCCTGTGTTTTGGCCAAAGCTAAACAAGTCATGGACTTGGAAGAGAAGAGTATGCAACTGTAAAAAGAAACAAGTGACCGTTATGTAGTTTATGAGATGATCCCCTGCGTCTCAGGCAAGGAGAGGTGCCGTGGGGTAGAAGCAGGCAAGCAGGAACTCGGGTGCGTGCACACAAGATGGTGCCTGCAAACAGTGCCTGTGGGTTGTGTGGTCTGGCAGGGTCCCAGAGGCTGATGCAGATGGTTGTGAAATGGCCACAAGCCACCCCTCCTTCCTCATGCCCTCAGGCCAAGTGTGCAGTCTGTTTTCCTTCTTGACCGTGACACACACCGCCCCAGGAGCCTGCATGTCCTGGAGTATGCCCCTGATGTTCTCAGGGGCCCTGCAACCACCCTGGCCACCAGGCCAGACTCCACACCAGACACATGTAGCCACACAATCAGGACCAGGAAGGCCACTCAGCCCTGGCCAGCCTGCAGGACGGTAGGAAATAGCCAGTGTTCACAGTTCAGTCCCACCAGCTGTGTGCAGCTGTGTCAGCCAGCAAGAGCTCAGGGACAGGAGGACCCAGAGGACAGTGAGTCTGTAGGCCAAGGCCACCAGGGGAGCCCAGGAGTGGGGACCAGAGAAGAGAGGCTGTGGACTCACTCTAACTTGGCTGCATCAGCGTAGAGAGCTACCAAGGAGAAATGGGGTGGTGGCAAGGAGGAGAGGCCACAGGGCTGGGGGCATTATTCTAGGAAAGTTGAGGGCTTCTGGGGGTGTGAACCAAGCTGCCTCACCTGTTGGATGGACAAAGGCAGATGGGTGAATAAGAGATGATGAATGGGTGGACAAATGAAAAGACGGATGGTTAGATGGGTGATGGATGGATGATGGGTAGATGGAGAAAGAATGAATGAATAGATGGAAGATAGATGGATGAGTAGATGGAGGATGGATGGATGAGTAGATGGAAGATGGATAGGTAGATGGAGGACAGATAAATGGACAGATGGAGGATAGATAGATGGGTAGATGAAAGATGGATGGATGGACAGATAAATGGAGGATGGATGGATAGATAGATGGAGGATGAATGGATGGGTAGATGGAGGATGGATGGATGGATAGATGGAGGATGGATGGATAGGTAGAAGATGAATGGATG